GGAGCTGCAAACAGACGACGAGAAAACAATTTCCAGGTAGAGTACCACCAGTGAACTTGGATGACTGAAAATCTACACAATCGGCGAGAGTCTTTGCTGGCATCTATGATGTACATCAGGCAATTTGCAGACTTGCCTTCGATGTGGAGGTTGACAAATGAATCACTGATGCCCGTGAGGGTTACCACACGGCACATGTAGCTCCCTTCATCTCCAACAACCACGTCCTTGAGCAGCAGAGAAGCGTTTCCTTTGCCGATATTTTCCTTGAACAGCGAGGTTCGGCCCCTGAAGCGCTTGTCCTGTTTCTTGAGCCGGTCGGTCTCGAAGAAGAAGGAATGAACCAAGATCTCTGGAAACTGGATCCAGTAGATGGCCACGTCATCTCCGATAGAGAAGTTGGCCTCTAAAAGGCAGCTGGTGTTCCAGCGACATCGAACATCGCTGACATCTGTCAAACATCACCGCGAGCAGGTCAGAAGGAAGGCCACGTGTAATCCGATTGAAGCCGATTGAATCCACAAACAAATTCGATTCGAGGCAAATTACATCTGCGGTTAATTGCGCTCAAATGTACAGTCAAATTCATTTTAATCCCCAATGAAATCATCTTGAATCCAAAATGACATTGGATGCGATGGAATGCGCTCCCGGAATGAGATAAAATCACGTTTGCGGTTGAATCCAGTTCAGTGCTCCGTGAAATCAGATTGAAGGCACAGTGACATATAAGATAAAACCCGGAATCCAACCAGATTCAAATTGGATCCAATGGCACCATCCAGTATACAGTCGCGTCGAGTCGCCGACGCCAAAGGTGGAACTAAAGTGCGTGGCTTAATATTCTCGTCGGACCTTTTAGTGCGCTGCACCGCTGAACAAAGACAAGCGCGAAGATGAGAAGCAGCCCCCAGAGAAGCAGTCCCGAGATGACCACGACGGTGAGTGATATTATATTATCAAGGTCAGACCACAACACAAAACCAAGCAAGCCCGGAACAGTAGAGTTGTTTAAGTGTATTTCTTCTTCGCTGTTGAAGATTTAAAGTTAAAAGGGCATTCCATCCTATTTCTACATGAAAAAGAAACGATTCAGACACTGAGACAGAGCCAGATGATGATGGTGGTGAGAGAGTTAAAGAGGAGCAAGTTGAGAGCACCAGAGCGGGAGAGTCAGAGGACACGGGAGACACTTCTTGTCAGAGAGGACACTGAGCAGCAAAGAGAGACAGATGAAGATCCTGAGAATAAGGAAACTGAGACTCGGACTGTCTGCGCGTGTGTGTGTGTGTGAGTGTAACTTTTTCATATCCCTTTTTATTTTTTAATGTTTATTAAACAGGAACAATATATAAGACATTGCCTTTTAAAATTGGGACAATTAGATGCATGCAAAACATCGAGCTTCAGTGTGTTTGCAATTTTAGTCACTGGTCAGGCTTTAGAATGTATTCATTTATATTCACTGAATACAATAAAGGAATAAATAAATGAATGCAATTAATAAATATCATTCATGAATACATTTTTGACAATTATGTGTGTCTGAGCGCTGAAACAGTGTAGGGTGTCGCAGGTTAGTGTATATGCTGTGTCCATGCAAAAAATATGTTTACATCTATTCGGTTTGTCTTTCTCCACAGACATCAGCAAATGTAAAGAAGACCCGCCAATGCAGAGCAGAGTTTTTCCACATTAAATCTTGGGAAAACAAACCTCATGTCCACTATGAACGATAATAGATGAAGCAATCTTGGTGTACTTTGCATTGAGTCTAGGAGGTCAAAAGCACTGAATCTTGAATCACTTTGGACGGTTTGCCAGAAATCACCAAAATCGCAGAATACAGTTGCTGCAATGGTAGGACTGTTCCACAAGATCTGCACCTATATGAATCTTTCATCAGCACTTAATTTAGTACTTTTGTGATTACAGTGGCGGACCATGAGGGCCAGCAAGGCCTTCTCTGCTGGCCTGAACATTCTCAGAAAAGTAAATTTACTTTTATGTGTTTTATGTTAACAACGGAGATCCCGGACTGTTGAACAGCTGAAGTTCGACATCAAACAAGAATGAGAAAGTATTTCTCCTACAAAGCTTCAACAATTAGTATCCTCAGTTCCCAAACGTTTATTCAATGTTGTTCAAATAAAAGGTGACGTAACGCAGTGTTGGGTCTAAAAGGCCCGGCCGACCCGGGCAAAGAACAGGCAGCGCACACGGAAATAAAGTTTTAGACTGCTGCAGCAGGGAAGAACAGGGAGGGCACGAAGTTACAGTGCGCTCGGCTCACAAGATCTCCTGTTGGTTTTCCGCTGCAGAGTGCTTTTATTTTGAAAAGTCACAGATAGAGCATGCGCAGTGCAAACAATGGAAAAGTACTGGTATGGTGTGTTGTTGGCTCGTGAATCATATGGTGTGTGTGTGCGTGTTCTGGGTGCGATGAGATGTGTGAGTGGCAGATAGCGTGTGAGGAAAACTTTATGTGAACACGGAAAAACAAGGTATGCAAGTTAAATAGAAACCATGAAATAAAACAATGGGCTATGGAGAAATACACACAAATATAAGAGCTTACTTTGCAGCCACTCGATAAATAACTTATTATTATGGTAGAGTTTTTAACCAATCATATTTCAGCTAGCTTGCGTTGCCAGGTAAATTAAACTTGCTCGGGGCCTTTAGATTAAACAGAGCAGGCCCCTGTGCACTGTAAGTGAACGAGCACAGTCAGGTTTCAATAGCCAATCAGATCACGAGTCTGCTGTATCCTGTATCCTGACTTGTGTAAAGATTAAAAAAAAAAAAAAAACGATTGGATGTGGGTCGCACGCGAGAGCGATCAATGCATTTTAACCCAAAATGGCTGAAGGAGAAGACGTTGATCTGGTTGTGGAACTACTTTCCACACAATTTTCAAGACGGACCTTCCACCAAAAGCTGGATATTGTGCGAAGAGGTCGCCCAACTCCTGCTCTAGCTAACCTGTCCCAGCAAGGAAAAGGGGTTGTCCGTCATTTTCAGACGAGCAATTATGAACGCTACCCGTGGCTCACAGCCTCTGTGAAATGCTGCAACTCGTACTGCTGGGAATGCCTATTGCTTGCAACTGACCGATTTGCTGTTTGGAGCCACACTGGATTGTTTTACGAAGGCAGCAAGGAAACATTAGAGCACGGCTGGGCACTTAACAACCTATGGTGTGTTTAAAAACGTTTGGGGATACTCTCGTAGATCTGCAGCTCAGTGAACAGGCACGCCGGTGAGGAAATGAATTTTATTTTACATTTCTTCTTGTCATTTTATTTCGTTAGTATTAAATTCATGGTAACGAAATAAAATAACAAAAGATCCAAAAATGTATCAAATAAACCTGCTCACCTGCAATTTTTTATCATGGCGCATTGTAGTCACCTTCATGCACGAAAGTTCGTTCAATCTCAGCTGCTCAACATTTTCAGTTATTTGCTGTTGAATCGCCCTTTCAAAATGTGCAAATGATCTGTTTATTTTCAAAGAATAGTTTGTTTTGTTATTGTTTGGTTGGTGTCTGCGCAATTTATTGGACAGACTTGTTTAAGATCACACAGCGTAATTTGGGTGGCATTTTATTTCGTATTTTTAAATCATCTTTTTATTTTTGACTATCTGTAAATTTAGTTTCCTGCTCTTAATTGTGAATGCATACTTGATGGTTTTAAATGCTCCTGAAATTAAGTGCTGCTTGACGAGCCTATATTGTGTATGTATGTGACGTCACTGAAGGCCTAAGGTTGAAATGCACGGCCCGCCACTGTGTGATTATTACACTGTTTTTCATCGTCACTGTAATATTATGTCTGCAAAGGTTTAAAAGTTTGATGAAAATAAAAGGTCAAATAAGATTTCGAATCTTTGTCTTTTTGGCCCAGGATTGAATGTGCCCTTCTATCAAAACCCCTGGCCCCAAGCCAGGCCCCTCAGTGAAATTGATCTAGAACCGCCACTGCTCCTGAACAGATGTGCTGACATCATCGAGCAATCACAACTCATGCGCCGGAATGCTGAAAAGTAACTTGGTTCTTCCCTTTAATTCAAGCGGACAGGTGTGGCAATGTGGATGAGGTCAGATAGGTATGAAGGGGCAAGGTTATGGATAGCTTTGAAAGTAAGGAGCAGGATTTTAAATTGAATGCGGTGTATAATGGGGAGCCAGTGGAGACGTTGGAGGACAGGTGTAATATGGTTGATGGATGGTGTGAGTGTAATGGTGCGAGCGGCTGAATTTTGGACCAGCTGAAGCTTCTCGAGGGTTTTTTGAGGGAGACCCAGCAGGAGGGAGTTACAGTAATCAAGTCGGGAGGTGATGAGGGTGTGAACGAGTATAGCAGTGGAGTGAGGGGTGAGCGAAGAGCGGAGTCGTGGATGTTTCTAAGATAAAAGTATGCAGAACGAGTAATGTTGTTGATATGTGAGGTGAAGGAGAGGGTGCTGTCGAGGATGACACCCAGGGTCTTGACTTGAGGGGAGGGGGAGAAATGGAGGAGCTGTCAAAGGGAATGGAGAAATAGTTTATTTTGTTTTGGGTGGATTTGGTACCAATGAGGAGGAGTTCAGTTTTATTGCTGTTCAGTTTGAGGTGAACCATGATTTGAATTCCTGCAGGCAGTTGGTTCGGGAGGATGGTGGAAGTGTGGCGTTTCGTTTGGTAGAGATTTAGAGCTGGGTGTCATCCGCGGAGCAGTGAACGTGAATGTGATGTTTCCTGAAGATATTACCAAGGGGGAGAAGATAGATTTGAAACAGCAAGGGGCCAAGGACAGAACCCAGAGGGACACCTGAAGTGAGTGGAAAGGGGTGAGATCTAAAACATTTGAGCTGGATAAACTGGGTGCGGTCAGAAAGATAGGTGCGGAACCAGGAGAGGGGGTTGCTGGTGATCCCAAAGGAAGAGAGTCTGTCGGGGAGGATGGAGTGAGAGATGGTGTCAAAGGCTGCACTGAGGTCAAGCAGGAGGAGGATGGCGAGTGAAACCGAGTCAGCAGAGAGAAGAAGGTCATTGGACATTTTGAGGAGGGCAGTTTCAGTACTATGGAGGGAACGGGAGCCAGATTGAAATTGTTCATAGAGGTTATTGGAGGAAAGATGGGTGTGAAGTTGAGCTGCCACTGTTTTTCGAGAAGTTTGGAAATGAAGCAGAGGTTTGATATGGGGCGGAAGTTGTTCATGTCGGAGGGATCTATGATGTGATTTTTTTATTTTTTTTATTTTTGCTGCTGTGGCAGCAGCAACATGCTCCCGCGGATGCCTGATAAATCTACTTGAAAATATTTGCACATTGTTATTTCCCCAACACTGAAGAAGGAGTACTGAAAAAAAGGAGGGAGATCTGTTCAGGTGCTTCTTACTTCCAATGACCAGATGCCACAGGAGCGCCACCACCAAGGTCAGCACAGCCATCCTTGTCTTCATGATCATCGTCCTCTTGGGCTTTCTCATTGGTGTCAAAGTTCACAACTGTCCCACAGCATTCTGTTCCGCTGAAATCAAGAGTCCAAGATGAGTGCACCTGAAGCTGTCTCCTACGGTCCATGGTATCCCCTGCGTATGTGAGAGCTGAAGCCTCCTTCCCTCCACCGTACACCAACCACATTCACATGACGCGGTATCCCCACCCATTTTTTTTTTTTTTTTTGCTTTACAGCGACATTCCTGCGTTCATGAAGAGGTTTAATTTTTAAATAGCGTCACTGGGTGAAGACATGACAAAATCAGAGAGCAGAAATGAATGGAAAAAAAAAAAACAAACTCAAACCAAGTGATGGGTCCAGCAACACCGATGCGTCGACGCATGCGTCGAGCTCACAGAGCAATCCACGTGTCGGTGCCTGTGCTGCTTTGTGATGATCACGTGACCAGCTGCGTCGACGCAGTCCAGGCGGCGTCGACTCAGTCCAGGGGGCGTCGATTCAGTGCAGGGGGCGTTGATGCAGCAAAAGCCCGCCACACAGTGTTTATAAGGAAGTGCGTTTAGCGACACGATGCCGCCTGCCGAAACAAGCCAGACCTCACCTGGAATAAAAATATATATTTGGGCAAAAAGGAAAACACACAGATTATCAGAAAAACGTGTCCGTCTGACTTCGAGCGTCGTATCGGCTAGGCTAGCTTAGCTATTGTCGTAGTTCATAGCTTCTTTAGTATGTGACGTGGGTGGCGTCAGCGCCGTGAGTACATGCTCGCGCGCGCACAGCAGAGAGCGGCGGACTATCGACTGCTGAGGCGCGCTTCACTCAAGTGACGTTGCTACAGTACGTGCATATTATGGAGCAACTTCTGGAGAAACACAAATTGTCCACCGTGTAGAGCCAGTTTGATCTCCTTTTGGAGAATAAGGTATTAATTCAAATCTCCTTGTCTCACCAAGTGCCTCTCGGATTTTTGACATGTCTTATTCCATCCTAATTCAAATTAATTTCATGGTAACTCTTAGTTTACAATTCACATATTTTATTGCAGGTGAAATGTTGAATTTGCCATTTAGCAGGGGTGGCCAACCCGCGGCTCGCGAGTCGCATGCAGCTCTTTGGCTGGTTCAATGCGGCTCCCGGGCTTTCACACGACAAGCGTCGAAAACGCCTCGGCAGTGGCGATGCCATTCAAACAAAGGCGCTAAGTACACAGAACGTATTATGTCAGCCTATCATCAATCCCGTTACTTGATTGACATAGAGGGCAACCAATCAGATGACTGCATCACCGCTCATGTGCAAACAACGGCGCTAAGCTACTCAGCGAATTACCTCTGATTTTAAGGCAGGGGTGCCCAATACGTTGATCAGAATCGACCGGGAGCCAGCGAACTGGTCCCAAGTCGACCGCAAGGATTGGGAGGAGGAAATGGGTGGGTTAAAAAAAAAAAAAAAAAGATTTGTTTGTTTGTATCTTTTGTTCATTTTCGGCACGTTCCGACTGTTGCTCATCGCAGTGTGCGTGCATATCTGCGCGAGTGCACTGGTGGGCACCCGCGTGAGTGCATGCGTGCAAGCGCGCGCGCATGTGGGTGTGTGTGTGTGTGTGCTCCCTGTCTCTCCTGTTCGTGTGCTGCTCACAGTGTGCTGCTGTGTCTCTGACTCCTCCCCCTTCTCTTCACTGAAGCGCGTGTGTGTGTGTGTGTGCGCGTGCGTGCGTGTGTGTGTGTGTGTGGGTGTGTGTGTGTGCGTGCGTGCGTGCGTAATTAATGGCAACAAAAGTGAGTAGATCCTGTTGGGGAGGATAGTTCCGCTGGATCAGTTTGGGGTATACCGTATAGGGTACAGGATGGTGTATCGGTAAGAATACAGGAAGCAGGTATCTTGAGTTAAGGCTCTTGCATGGGTGGTAGAAGGCAGGTTTGGGAGATGGAAGACCGGTTGTAGGTGACTCAAGGTGGGTTTGAAGACGGGATACAGAAGACAATGGTCAGAGGTGGAAGGCATGGGACAGGAGGCAAAGGCAGAAGGCATATGTAGATGCAGATTCTCGGAAGGCAGATGGTAAGGCCAGAGGTACAGAAGTGCACAGGGCAGTCGTGCAGAAGGTGCAGAGTCTGAAATGTCGAATGACATCAATTACGGCATGTACAGCATTCAACAAGATATCATACAACTCAAACAGGCACACAGAATAATTCTCTAAAGGTATAGAAATGCTGTACAAACTCTATAAAGGAAATACAGAAAAGGGGGAGGAAACGCTGCCAACGGCTTGGTTGGCCAAATACACTTATGTAAACACTCAATTGTACTGGCTCATTCAGATGGTCTATGGAGCCCTCTAGTGGCCGATAAGAATCGTGCAGAATGGCGGGGGCAGCAGCGGGCGCACTTTATG